TTTTAAAAATTCACTAGTCTTATGACACCCAAAATTCTGGGTGGCATTGGTCTACTGTCAGCCTAAGCTTCCTCTCCCATTTTCCCCTGGCTCCATGCTGCAAAATTGTCCCAGGCCATGCTCACAGTAACATTGTCATTGTCACACCGAAAGGGCCTGTTTCAGGCCTTCTGCTTCTTGACTCATCTTTGCTTCCAGGACTCTCTGGGGGATTTTCTCCTGGCTGCTCCTTCATTGTTGTGTTGGCTGCTCGTCCTCATGAGCTCGGGGTGGCCTTTCTGCAGTGCACCCTGGCCATGCCACTGTCCGGCTCGGAGGCTCTGGCCCTGCCTCCTGCCAGCCTCTGCTCCAGCCAGGTAAACTCTGTGCAGCTCTCTGTGTGCTGGGCCGTCTTGTGCCTCTTTGCCTTTGCTTAGCCTGCTGCCTTTTCTAAAAATGTCCCCCTTCTGACCTACCACTCCAACCTCCCAAATGCCCCTTGTTTGGCTGTCCTGCTAGCATTCCCTGTCTCCCTTCACTTGTCTCCCCACCAAGCTCAAGGGCAAGGATTATGCCACTTAACTTGGTTTGCCCCCTTAACAAAGTGCCTAGCCCAGATATACTTCCCAGGAAATGATGGCTGCATGCTTCAATAAAGAAGGGGTTGTATTAATTTTGTGTATCTTTTTGAAAAACAAATTTATTTGCATTATAATGCTCAGATTGAAAGTGTTTAAAAATTATATATCCTTGTACATAAGAAGTCATTGTCCCTTCCTTTCCTGACCCTCATGACTCTAATTTTAATCTCTAGTGGCATACTATCAAAGTTCTATATGTCCATTCAGAGATATTCTATGCACATATAAGCATATGTGTGTGGGATATGTGAGTATATATACACATACACACTCCCGTTAAAAAAGCATATGGTAGCACAGTATATATTGTTGATGATCTGTTTTTTTCCTACTTCACAACATATTTTCAAAATTTTTGAAAATATCAGTACATATAAATCT